TCACCTTTCGAGATTTAGAGCACTTGTCCGCCCTGCAGTGCTTCTTCCACGTTTATTCACCAATGCAACGACGATGAGTGTTAAAACGGCAATTTACCCCCATGTTCCTTATCCCAAGTTCACATCCAACCTGGTAAAAAAATGTTGTCCTTAACCTCGAGTAAGCCGCGAGTATTCGGTCCCCGTTCTACTAATTTTAGTCATAAGAAATATTGCTATTATACAGTGAATTACGGCTCCGCAAAGCTAACGCAATTGAGCCTGAGTTCAATACCAGACCGGGTTAATATGATTTTTTCGTGTTAAAACATTTCTCGACTTTCCTGGGCATGATTGTACTTGCCCAACAATAATACTAATGGAAAAATGGTACAGACTTACAACGCTCTGCATTAACAACTGTGGAAGTGCTCAAAGAACATTAAGTTGATGACCGGTGTAAAGTTCCAGAAGGGACGTAATAATGCCAAAAAAGATGAAGAAAGAGCTAGAAGAACAATAAGTTGAGGATAGATACTAGGTTCTCGCTGGGACATTAGAGCCATGGAAAAAAAAAGAAAATTTTACGAATGTTGTTCAATTGCCATAAAATCAAATACTATTAAAATAGTATTTTATTTTATGGCAATTGAACTTCAAAATTTGAGTTGATCAACACTCGTTAAACGTTTCGTTTACTTCCCCGGAACCTCGGTAGTAACACATTCAGATGGCGATTCATTTTTTCCCACCAGTTACTTTATGAAAAGCCATTATTCGGAATACCGAGGCGCACGTGGTTTTTCCTTCGTTCTGATACACAACCAAAAAAAAAAACGATATTCACCACCCGTTCATTGTCCTATTTGGGAATCAGGCTAGGTCTGCCACCCAGCAACGACCCGTCGACCAGTCAGCCAGTCAACCAACCAACCAACCAACTGATAATGGGTTCAGGCCACATTGTGTTCAATCCGGCCATTCGCTGGTTCGGTCGTCCGGCTACCTAGTGGTGTGTGTAAATACCAGAATACATAAATTGTCTCAATTTTCCGTGTGTCACGTAGATATTTTTGGCCAAAAAATTTGAATTAAATTACCATATAATGAATACAATTACCACAGGCCGGTCTGCCGGAGCTGCGTGTGCAGCCTTGGGAGGAAGAGGCAAACGTCGCAGTCTAGCAGCCACAGAAACGACTGGGACAAGAACAAGGAAATAGCGAGGGCAGAAAAAAAATTGTATCGGCCAACTTTTGGCGAATCCGCGCTACCAAAGGACGACCCCAAGTAGTGGGGGCGGTTCGGTGGGACAACGAGTCCACGAGGAGACAACCAAACGCGAGGAATGCTGCACGTTAAACAAAAGCGCATTCTTGCATACTCAAAAATACGCGCATAACCGACAGCCTGCCGAGCCAACAGCAGCAGCAGGAATGGATTCCTGCGGTGTGAATGCCAAAGTCTGGTTTTATATTTTGGCTTTTTATAGGTTTTTATTCTGTTGTATTTTGTGGCTGACTGGTTGATCGGTGACAAATGAGCTATCATTGTCACCCGGGAGGCAATTTCGATGGCTGATGTATGCTTGCAATTTTGACTTCGGCTGTGGTGGTTAATTTTAGGGAATTCAAATATTTTATGCAAAAAATGATTCGTTTGTTTTTGCAAGAGTGCATTGAATCATTTACCTAATGGAATTTAATGGAAAAAATAAACGAGTATCATTTGCTGTCACTGCACAAACCTGTTCTAAAAACTCCAATTAATTAATGTGACCGTTTAGCGAAGGCGAGAGAACACAAATTAGACGGTACTTTGCGGGGTTTAAAAGTCCCCTTGTCGGGCTCCAGTTGAGAGGGAAAAAAAATTGACAGCTTAAACAGTTTCATTTCCCACCCAAACAGCCCTCCGTTTGTGGTTTATGCAACGTTCCATGATGTGGAGGTGGTAGCAATAATGATAGCGAAGCATCCTCTATTTTTTCCGTGCCATTCTGCCATCCAACAATTGCGGGTCTGTTGCTGGGTAATCATTTGATTAATGTCTTTTGTCTCCATCATCGTTGCCGTCGGACGTGTTCGAATCCACATGGGGAAGGAGAATCATTGTCGGCTCAGTGTTGACCATGTGATGGATTGGCAGAAGAAAAAAAAAACTGCCCAACTGCAGAATCCCACAGACGGAGACGGATTTAATTGTATTTACAGACAATTAGACAGTAATTGCAGTTTTTCGATCAGGCACTTTGTCATCGAATGCACTGCTCGAGGTAGTGAAATTTTGAAAGGTACAATGGATAGGTGTTGTCCGTGGTACACAGTATTAACTGAATTTAGATGCTTGGATTGATACGTCATTAGCGAGTTTTGTTGTTGTTACTCAATGGTAATGCCATGCCTTTACTGACTAGGCTATTCGAGGTCCCGTTTGAATGTACCAGATGGAAAAATCTTTTTGGTGAACAATCAGCAGAACGATACCGATTGTCAGCACGTGTAACATTGGAGGCTCGGCCGCAAGAATGCGAACGTGTTTGGATGGATACTAGAATGAAGGTCAAGGATTGCGGAATCCGAAACACCTACAGGGTTGAATGCAAAAGGAATATGGCACGACCGTCGTTCCCATCTGTAGCAGAAAAATCGTCAAGAGAGGTTTTGGACATCGTGTACAGCACATCGTGTGTGGTCTCATCACGACATCTCCGGGAGGATCACAATCGTTCTACAGTAGTCTAGTTCCTCAACCCTCTCCTGCCCATGGTAGCTCAGGTGATCCACAACTATCATTAAAAAGTCAGTTTGGGAGACTAGGTAGACTTGATACCCTGGGAGACTTGATCCCTTCATCGTATCCCTCATACGATTTGATTTGAAATTAACGTTTTGACGTTTCACAACCAACATCAAAATTATCCACCTTTTAGGAAATTTTCTTCAGGTTTCTGGAAAATTTGTTGAAACATCAAGTAAGAACTGTGAAATAATAATAAAATGTAGTTTCGCTATTCACGGACAACTTCTACGCTCCAGGATGCCTCGAAACTACAAGCCTAAAGATGGCTTTGCCAGACGAGTGCGTGTGGATGAAAATTTACTGAAAGAAGACTTAGCCGCTGTATTGGACGGTCAACCAATAAAAACGACCGCCAGGCGGTTGGATATACCACTTATGACCGTCAACCGTTATACCCTGAAACAGAAGGCATTCGACAAGTTGATCCGGTACGGACCCGACTATGGATCGTCATCGAGAGCCTTCTCCGATGAAAAAGAGGAGCTTGTAACCAGCGGTTACAATTAAACGTAGCAGATGACTTTGTCACCTTGCGATTATTTTTTTATAAGGTGTTCCATCCCAATACAGAACCCTATTCCACAGAACAGAAGGGGAAGTGCAAACAAATCGGTGAATCAAAAAGTGCTCGTTTTTCTGCTCAACGAGCGATGTGATGTGGTAGCGTTCCACATAGGCTTTCTATGTGCACTCACACTATCATAGCATGCTGCCTATCTTAACTGCAGGCCGAAGATGCCTTCTACCGCTAGGTGCGCTAGTGTTCGCAAATGACCAGTGGAGCCACTTTCTGATTTGAAGTTCCACTCCTGTGCCTATTCCCTAAATATCACAATCATGTCTGACTCTCACTGTTTGTTGGCAGCGGTTTGAACCAGCGAAATATATCGTTTGCCGCTCCGCGGCGCCGTAAATATAAAGCATGACCACAAATGATGCCACGGAAGAAAGTGACACAAAGAACATCGAGTGACAAAGACTCGATGTTTCATAGCATGGGTTGATCGGCTCAGCCGTAGAATTGTTCGCTCTCTTCTGTCCGTGAACTCCGTAGGAAGTGGAAGTGCGCGCGCGTTCCTAAAATTAAAGATAAAAGTTTGATATATATTTATGTGGTGTTATAAAGCTAATGGCAGTAGTTAAAATCATTTAAAAGGTAGTGAAAATTAAAAGTGATTAAAAGAAGGATATTGTAAAAATTAAAGCTGGGTAAAGTAAAGTTAATGTTCAGTCCGTGCACCGGCAGCGGGCTGAAATTTGAAGAAGAGGAGGAATTTGCGACAGCCACGAAGACCACCAATCAGAGCGCAGCAGCCGAACCAACGCAGATATAAAAACACGCGCTGCTGTGCGCTCAGGACTCAGTTTTACGCAAGTCACGAAAGAGTAAACATCAAGCCGAAGAGACAACCCGAAGAAGAAAACGAATCGCCAGCAGCAGCAGCAGCAGTCGGCCGCGAAATCGACCTGACCCGAGCAGTAGCCGTCGGTAGGCGACATCTTGGCGCGGCGCAGCAAATAGCAACAATAGCAGCAGCAGTCATCGTCGTTCGGTTCCAATCGGCAGGGCCCGATTCCCGGACGGCGTACTAGTGTTAGTGTGAAGAAACGAAGAGAAATCAATGTAGAAAAAAAGTGAAATAACAACAACATGAAGTAAAGAAGTGTGTGTGCCTATATGTTCTGCTCCGATACTTGCTCCCTTTCCATTTGCCACGACCACAACCAACCGGCTCTTTTCAGAGCCAATAAGAGTTTATGTTTTTGAATTTTCCGGCCAACCGTGGCCACCTTGGAGATCCATCGTTCCGCCAGCCTTGCGAGGCATCGCAGAGAGGAAGCGTGAAGCTTCCGAGGCAGCCAGTCACCAGACCTGCCTCCACCGAGAAGGCAACCATCGGCGTTGTCCATCCGTGGCCCAATCCCACAGGGGGAGCGGGCACCTATCCGAAAAATCACCATCCGAGGAAAGTTATGAGCATACAGTCCACTGGCATCCTACATTGTTTTTGGTCCTTCGAACCGGATTTTGAGGAGCAAGCATCCAATCCGACGGAATCGGTCTGTCTAGAATACGAGTGAAAGTGGATCGGGAAGCGATGCGTTGTGAGCAGAGCATAGAGGAACCAAGTGAACAAGAGTGAGAATTTGAAAAGTTAAAAACATTGACTTGATAATTGAAAGACAAATTACTGAAGAAAGTGAATGAGTGAAAAGTGCAAATGCCACCCAAAAAAGAAGTGAAGACCGAGCAGGATCTCGAGGCGCTAGTCCACAACCGTGGAATGGCGTTGAGAAACGTGACCCGGATCCAAACCATCCTGAAGCAAGCGGAAGTTGACCACACCGAATTGACTCCAGCTCAAGTGAAAGTGTACCAGCGAAGTGTTGAGAACGCAAATGCCGAGTTCACCAGGCTTCATCATGAAATCATTGCCTTGTCCCAACAAGAAAACCGTGAAGAACAAGACAACTACTACCTCCAGTTTGTGGACCTCCACGAAGAAGTGTCTGTGGTGCTTGAGAGTTGGCTCGAAAAGTTTACCGTTCCGCCAGCTCAGCAGCCACAGCCCACCGGAAACCAGCAGCCATTGATCATCCAACCTTCCCTCCCGCGTGCTATACCAACGTTTGACGGACGGTATGAGCAGTGGGAGAAATTCAAGGTGATGTTTAAGGATGTGGTTGACAAAGGCAATGAGTCAGACCGCATCAAACTTTATCATCTGGAGAAGGCTCTCGTTGGGGACGCCGCCGGTCTGATAGACGTCAAAACTATCACAGACGGTAATTACGCCCATGCCTGGAAACTACTCGACGAGCGTTATTCCGACCACCGAAGACTAATCGATCGGCACCTGGCAAGCATGCTAGGTGTGAAAAAGTTAGCAAAGGAATCCTACAGTGAGTTGCGATCATTGGTAGAAACCTTTAATGGGCACGTCGAGAATCTCAAGTTCCTGGGAAACGATTTCGCCGATGTAGCGGAGTATATGGTGGTGTTCCTGATTACTCGTGCTTTGGACGACGAAACCAAGAAGTTATGGGAAGCGACCATGAAGAAAGGTGAGTTGCATGTATACGACGAAACCATCGAGTTCCTGAAGGAGCGGGTATCCGTCCTGGAGAGGTGTCAAACATCCAGTGAAAACAGCCAGTCCAAGTATCGGCCACCCACCAAGCCAAACCTGTTCAAGCCTTTCCCATCGAAGATAAACACCGCTACCACTTCAGCCCCAGCAGAACAGCGTTGTGAATTCTGTGCCGACAATCACTTCACGTTCAAGTGCCCAATATTCAACGAGTTGTCGGTCAGCCAAAGGATCGCCAAAGTGAAGGAGAAAAACGTCTGCTTCAACTGCCTACGACGTGGGCACCGTGTGAGTGATTGTTCCTCGAAGAAGTCTTGCTTGAAATGCAACCGGAGACACCATTCATTGCTACATCTGGAAGAGATGGATCAGCCACCGAAGAATAGCAGCGAAATCAAGCAACTACCAAGCCCAGCAGTTCCAGTTCCGAAGTCAGCTTCAGCAGCTCAGGTTCCGGACCCACCGGTTCCAGCGTGCAAGCCATCGACCAGCGGCGCGTCCACGAACGCCGCTCATTCCAACGTTCCAGTGAAGCCAACCAGTCAAGTGTTCCTGCTCACCGCATTGGTCAACGTTATGGATCAAGACCTCCTGCCACACACGTGTAGAGCACTCCTGGATAATGGCTCGCAGGTTAGTTTCATCACGCAATCCTTGGCCAACGCATTAAGGATGTCAATGAACGAGGTGAGTGTTCCTATTACTGGTATTGGTAGTGCAAAATCCACAGTTAAACAAATGGGTACCGTCCAAGTTCGCTCCAGATGCAATAACTTTATCTTATCACTGTCTTGCCTCGTATCACCCAAAATAACTGGCCCACTTCCTTCCTTCACAATCAACATCGACACTTGGAACATCCCTGAGGGTATCCAACTCGCAGATCCAACCTTCCACAGAGCAAACTCCATCGACATGCTCATTGGCATGGATCATTTCTACGACATTATGAAATCAGGTTACATGAAGTTGTCTGACGATCTTCCCGGACTTCATGATTCCCACTTCGGTTGGCTGGTAGGGGGTAATTACTGTGAAGGTCTGAGGTCTGAAATAGTTCTTCGATCGCTCACCGTGTTCACCGATCCTGTCAACAAACTTGTGCAAAAATTCTGGGAAATAGAGAGTGTCGCCCCTGAGCTCGTTCCGACCACCGACATGGAAAAGTGCGAACAACATTTCTTGGCAACCCACCGTCGTGACGAAACCGGTCGTTACGTGGTCCAACTACCGTTGAAGGACAGCGTTGAGCAGCTAGCTGATTCTCGTTTTTTGGCATTACGAAGGTTCTATCTCCTTGAAGCAAAGTTAGCTCGCAACCCTGATCTGAAAGCCCAGTACGATGCATTCATCGAGGAGTACGAGTCGCTCAACCATTGCCAGGAGGTCCAGGAGTCCAACGATCCGCCCGGTTTGAGAAAATGGTACCTGCCCCACCACGCCGTTCTTCGCCCTTCCAACTCGACAACCAAATGTCGCGTAGTATTTGATGCCTCTGCCAAGGTCCATGGATATTCCCTTAACGATGTGATGATGGTAGGGCCCACTGTGCAAGCTGATATAGAAACGATAATTCTCCGATTCCGCACGCTCTGCTACGTCTTCAGCGCAGATGTTGGTAAAATGTACCGTCAGTTTTTGGTGGACCGGATCCACACTCCGATGCAACGTATTTTCTGGCGAACATCACCTACCCAAAAGCTTCGAGTATTAGAACTAACCACCGTTACCTATGGGACCGCCACGGCCCCATTTCTAGCCACAAGGGCGCTCCTCCAGTTGGCCCGAGATGAGAAGAAGAAATTTCCATTGGCAGCTCGTGTGATTGAGGAAAATTGTTACGTCGACAACGCACTGTTTGGTTCCAACGATTTCCAGGAAGCTGAGGAAACCCAATATCAGCTGAATGCATTGCTCCAGTCCGGAGGCATGCATCTTCATAAGTGGTATTCCAACGATGAGCGTCTTCTTGTTCCCATTCCACCCGAAGATAGAGACACGTTCGTAGATATCGGTGACAGTGGTGCCAATAACGTCATAAAAACATTAGGATTGCTATGGAACCCCACTACCGATGAGTTTGTTTTCCTAGCCAGTCCGCCTGCAAGCATTGAAATTCCTACCAAGCGGCAAGTTCTATCCACCATTGCGAAAGTGTATGATCCCCTCGGATTGATTTCTCCCGTAGTAGTAATAGCAAAGATCCTTATGCAACGTCTGTGGATTAGCAAGCTTGCGTGGGATGACAAGTTAGACAGCGATCTTTGTGCCGAGTACAAGTCGTTCATTGAGGCGTTGCCAATTGCCGAGCAAATCAGAATCCCAAGGCTTGTTGTTTCTCCAGAAGCTGTGGCGTATGAGCTGCATGGATTTGCAGACGCATCCAAAAAAGCATATGGTGCTTGTGTATATATCCGATCCCTCTATTCCAACGGTACCGCCACTATGAAGTTAATTTCCAGCAAGTCCAAGATAGCACCCATTTCTCCTGTGACTATTCCTAGACTGGAATTGTTAGCAGCACTTCTTCTTTGCCGGTTGATCAATAAAATCCAAGAAACTTTGAAGATGAAGTTCACATCGACCAACTTATGGACGGATAGCCAAGTGGTTTTAGCATGGTTGCGCAAACCACCCAGTAGTCTCACGGAGTTTGTACGCAATCGAGTGGCAGAGATTGTTTCTCATGATCAATTTGTATGGAGATATGTTCGCACGTCAGCAAACCCTGCTGATACAGTGTCCCGAGGACAATCTTCCACTGAACTGGCTAGGAATGACATGTGGTGGAATGGGCCGAGCTTCCTTCGCTCGGTGCTGTACGAAGCTGAAATTCCAGACCTTCCGAGTGACGACGAGATTCCAGAAATGAAGCCAACAGTGTCAGTCCACATCGTGATGAAGTTCGACGAGTTTCCGGTTCTGACGAAGTTCGAGTCCTTTCGTAAAACGCAGCGGATTGTGGCGTATGTTCTGCGGTTTCTGTCCAACTGTCGAAAGAAAAAGGAAGATCGAGTTATTACACCTTATCCAACCATTCCCGAGCTCCGAGGAGCAATGATGAAGATTGTTGGTGCCGTCCAGGAGCAGGAATTTTCCCGTGAAATAGACAAAATCAAGGCAGGTGAAAACAATCATCGACTTGTCAGCTTGAATCCTTTTCTGGATAACGGCTTACTACGAGTGGGTGGAAGAATTCGACACGCTCAACTGCCCTATAAAACCAAACACCAGCTGATTTTACCTGACAAGAGTCCAGTAATTCGGAGCCTACTTGTGGCAACTCATCGTGAGAACATGCACGTGGGTGTCTCCAGCGTGATTACCATCCTGAGGCAGCAATTTTGGTTGCTGAACGCAAAGTCGACCGTTCGTAAAGTTATTAGAAATTGCGTCCATTGCTTCCGACTCAGCCCAACTACGATCGATCAGCAGATGGGAGATCTTCCGTCCTACAGAGTAAACGAAGAACCAGTTTTCGCACAAGTAGGAGTCGATTATGCAGGACCTATCTTTGTGAAGCAGGCGGCTCGGAAGGCTACACCTGTTAAGAGTTACATTTGCATTTTCGTGTGCATGGTGACCAAAGCCATTCACCTTGAGGCAGTGGAGAATCTTTCAACCGAGGCGTTCTTGGCGGCATTCCAGCGGTTTGTGTCGCGAAAGGGTACTCCACACACAGTGTACAGCGACAACGGTACCAATTTTATTGGGGCCAAATCAGAGTTGCATGAGCTCTACGTGATGTTCCAGACCGAAGCTACCCAGAAGAAACTATTCGAGTTGTGCCAAACGAAGGAGATTGCCTGGAGAACCATTCCCCCTAGGTCCCCCCACTTTGGTGGCCTCTGGGAGGCAGGGGTGAAGAGCGTAAAGTCTGTCCTGAAGAAGGTCTACCAAGCTGCATCTCTAACAATTTTCGAGCTTTACACTCTCTTATGCCAAGTTGAAGCGATCCTAAACTCCAGGCCCTTGTACGCCCACTCCAACGACCCTCAAGATCCTGAAGCATTAACCCCTGCTCACCTGATGATTGGACGTCCACTCCATGCTGTTCCGGAACCGTCATATACCCAAATCCCAACCAACCGTTTGTCTCGATGGCAATACGTCCAACAACTGCGTGAACAATTTTGGACCAGATGGTCCAAGGAATATTTGACAGAGCTACAAGTTCGAGGCAAGTGGACGCAAAAGCGAGTAAATGTTAAACCTGGTCTAGTCGTTTTGTTGAAGGAAGAGAATATCCCTCCCCAAAACTGGAAGTTAGGCCGTGTAGTTTCAGTGTACCCTGGAGCGGACGGTTTAGTTAGAGTCGTGGACGTTAAAACGAAATCTGGTACCTATAAGCGAGCAATTCATAAATTAGCACCATTACCAATACTTGACAACCTCACTCCATCTGATCCAAACGTTACGGTGAGCACACTTCCCGGGGGGAGAATGTTCAGTCCGTGCACCGGCAGCGGGCTGAAATTTGAAGAAGAGGAGGAATTTGCGACAGCCACGAAGACCACCAATCAGAGCGCAGCAGCCGAACCAACGCAGATATAAAAACACGCGCTGCTGTGCGCTCAGGACTCAGTTTTACGCAAGTCACGAAAGAGTAAACATCAAGCCGAAGAGACAACCCGAAGAAGAAAACGAATCGCCAGCAGCAGCAGCAGCAGTCGGCCGCGAAATCGACCTGACCCGAGCAGTAGCCGTCGGTAGGCGACATCTTGGCGCGGCGCAGCAAATAGCAACAATAGCAGCAGCAGTCATCGTCGTTCGGTTCCAATCGGCAGGGCCCGATTCCCGGACGGCGTACTAGTGTTAGTGTGAAGAAACGAAGAGAAATCAATGTAGAAAAAAAGTGAAATAACAACAACATGAAGTAAAGAAGTGTGTGTGCCTATATGTTCTGCTCCGATACTTGCTCCCTTTCCATTTGCCACGACCACAACCAACCGGCTCTTTTCAGAGCCAATAAGAGTTTATGTTTTTGAATTTTCCAGCCAACCGTGGCCACCTTGGAGATCCATCGTTCCGCCAGCCTTGCGAGGCATCCCAGAGAGGAAGCGTGAAGCTTCCGAGGCAGCCAGTCACCAGACCTGCCTCCACCGAGAAGGCAACCATCGGCGTTGTCCATCCGTGGCCCAATCCCACAGGGGGAGCGGGCACCTATCCGAAAAATCACCATCCGAGGAAAGTTATGAGCATACAGTCCACTGGCATCCTACAGTTAAAAAGAAAATATTTTCTAATCTCCATTAGGTTTACTGCTGATACTGCATTCTATTAGTTTTTCGTGTTATCCAACGTAGAAATTAGGAAAAAGGTAATTAAATTGTTAAATTATATAATGTAACCCCGGACAGCCTATATTGTGACGTCATAGCACTAATGGGTTGGGTAGGTCCATTATCTGGGCCTTTTTTCCTATTCGGACAAGTTCCGAAACTCTCTTCCGCAGAAAGAGCCAAGAGGAGCCAAGGATGGTGGCACCGGACCTTTCGGCGAGCGTTCAGACTAGTCGCCACTTTAGTCACCGATACCAGCCAGGCGATCCACGTTCCACGTATCGGAATCGATTTCTTCACGGACAGAAAACCCCATCAGCGTCCAGGTCCACTATCCTCATCAGACATTCATGGAAGAATCAGCGTGGAGCAGAAGATCCACCATTGCTCTCGACGATCAAAAAGGCCACTCGAGAATAGACGAAGGACCGCCATCTTGTTGGCATCAAGCAAGTGGCATCATCCACATCGTAACAACGATTCGACGTCGGCGTTTTCATTAGCCTCACCGCCTCACAACCGGCGCTCTGAACGGTCGATTGCGCCGATCGATCCACGTTGCCACCGGTGCTTCTATCGGCGATCACCGCATAATCGTAGACTCAACGGCGACCTCATCATCAGCTCCGACGGCAATCCACCAGCAATCGAGACAGCAGAAACGACGCCGAAATGTCAGCGATGTCATGCTGGTCGCTACCGCCGAATCATCGATGATCCTGCTACGAAGGTCGACCTACCCACCTACCAGAAAACCGCAAGTACCCAGTGCAAGTGCATGTGACGTCACCCTAGATTAAAATAAAAAAAGCTAAAATGTTATAAAAGGCGGCTATTTTTTAGAGAGTGCAGTCCTTTAAATTTATTCCACCACCTTTTCGTTTGTCCTCGTTTTCCCCGGACCCGAAAGGGGTCTTCAGGCCTCGTCCGGGAGTTCATAGTGCAGAAATTTGAACTTCGTTGGCTTTTGAGCTTCCCCATGTGTTTTGTGTTATTCTTTTTCAGGTGCATCGTTTGTGGTTATTGCTTACTTTTAAACGACATATACGTTCCTGCTGTTAAGAGGTGGCAGTTGGATGTGAGTGTGATATTTAGTTCCGTAGGCGACCCTTAGATTTTCCCCGAGTTAGTCTAGAGGCTTACAAGCTGCTGCAGGATTACGTGTTGAAGGCAAGCAAGCTGAATCGCGGACTCACTCCTCTTGGTGTGCGACTAGCATACCAGTTTGCACTTGCACTAAACCTATTGCAACCTAACCTAACTTAACCTAACTAAACCTAGGTTTAGTTTGCACTAAACCTATCGTGAAGAAATGGGTTAATGATTTAGCATCTTGCGAGTGGTACTAAATGCGTCGCCGAAAAGTCTTGTCCCTAAGAGAAGCACAGACAACAAGTCGAAGCCGTGGTACTAGCTTTAACAAGCACAATTTTCGACAATTTTTCGGCAATTTGCGAGACAAACGATACATCTGGATACGGGATGCAACTGGTATCACTACTGTCCACAACCCAAAAAAGGTAGTGACTGGCAAAGGATGCAAACAGGTCACTAGGATGCAAACAGGCAAAGGATGCAAAGGCTACATCAGATGAACGTGGTGAACTACTAACAGCATGTTGCGCTGTGAACGCTGCTGGAGGGTTTTTCCCACCGTTTGTGATTTACCCCGTAAAAACTGGCAGGATATGATGCTTAACAACTGCTACCCTTGAACCGTCGGTAGCACTCATCTGAGCTGTTGTATGACTGCTGGTAATTTCGTGAAATTTCTTGAGCATTTCGCAAAACACTCCAAGTGCTCGATTATAATGCCATGCTTAATAATAATGGATAATCATGACAGCCATATTAGCATCGATGGTCTATCCTACGCGAAGGTTAACGGAATTAATTTGATGACCATCCCACCACATACATCACACAAGTTGCAGCCATTGGATAGGACTGTCTATGGTCCGCTGAAATCATATTACATCATGATGTGTGTGATGATTGGATGACACAGCATAGAAAAGAAAATGACTATATTCAATAGACTGATGCAAAATTTGAAATTTTCGCTCCACAGTGCTCAAACGGTTTCAAATCAGGTCCTGATTAGCCTCCCAAAATTTAAACTCATTTGGTAAGAAACTGACTTGGCACAAACTATTCGAAGTTTATGTGGAAATTACTATGGGAAAACCAAACTTTTTGTTCATTGTCTTCTACCCATTTTCCATATTGCTTTTTCGAAAATTTCAATAACTAATCTTACGGAAAATTTTCTAAACTACAACTTTGCGGGATATCGTTTTTCAGCCAAATGTCAAATTAAATTGTTATTAATTGTTTAAGAGATTGATAATCTTATGGCATGATCAAGCAGTTGTTCTGTGAGCAACACTGTATTCTGCAGTGTGACATAGTAGCCATGATATTTGTGCTCTATTCTTCGCACCAAAAACACCAATGTTGCCTGCTGAACAGTTGAATGAGCATAATCATAAGACATCAGTGACTTGAATCATTAATAACTTTTGTTCCTTACATTTGATTGAAAAGTGATTGAAGTGAGAAAATTTGCTACAATCACTGCTATCATTTTTAAAAGCATAGTAATGTGGTGAATTGTTAGATAGATATGAACATATAAATTTTGAAATGGCTTGTGCCAAGTCAGTTTCTTACTAAAGTAGTTCAAATTTTGGGAGGCTAAGCAGGACACAATTTGGAACCGTTTAAGCACTGTGGAGTGAAAAATTCAAATTTGGCATCAGTCTTATATACAAAGTGACAGAATGCTTTAGCATTTGCTGTAGCATTCACAGCGAGAAACATCGTAAGTGGACTTGGAACAACTGGGATTTACCCTTTAAATTTGGATGTATTTACCGAGGATGACTTTCTTTCTTAATACGTGACTGATATGGAGTTTAACCCGCCCAAATGCTCGGTTACTATATTATGTTCAAGTAGCTTTTGTTATGCACTGAAATTGAGCTCGTCAGCCAAATTAAGGACCTAGGTGTTATTCTGGATAGACAACTCTCTTTCAAGCAGCACATCTCGTATGCCGTCGATAAAGCTTCCAGAATTCTAAGGTTTATCTTCAGGATAGAAAAAGACTTCACTGCCTTAAATCGTTTTACTGCTCCTTGTCCCGCTCCATATTAGAATACTGCTCGGTTGTCTTACAACAACGGTGTCCAAAGAGTTGAGTCTGTTCAGCGACGGTTCCTGAGATATGCGCTAGGTAAACTGCCGTGGACGAATCCCATTCCGATTGCCTAGCTACGAAAGTCGTTTGCAACTGATCCATCTGGAGCCCCTGTCGGTCCGATATTTGCAGATATTTTGCTAGGACGTACGGATTGCCCTGTTCTCCTTGAGCAAATTCACATCAATGTTCAAGCCAGAACCCTACGAAATAATTCAATGCTGCGCCTGCCCATACAGCGAACTAATTAAAGCATGTTCAGCGCAATCGGTGGTTTACAGAGGCTCTTCGGGTCTCCGCACTATTTGACTTTTACCTGACTCGCCAGCTGCTTCGCCAGAGGTTTAGTTCCTTTGTTTACGAGATGACTATGGACTTATTGATGTTTAGTTTGAGTACTTTTCATGTTTAGTTAAGGTTACATCATTGGGGCCAATAACGCCGGTTGATGTTTAGTCATAAATAAACAAATAAATAAATATACCTGAACAAGCTGGCGAATCAACTTAAGCTAACGATTCTTCAACTCACCATAAATCTATCGAAATGAAGGTGCAAAGCGCGGATGTCGAACAACAGGAAAATGACTCAGCCGTGATTCCGGAAGCTTCAACAACAGTCGCCTCAACTGTTAATTCCATTGGCACTCAAAAAACGGTATGCAGACAGCGACCCAAGCCGACTAGATTTATATCTGAGAAGGAAACTCCTAAGCTTCAGAAGAAAACAACTTCTCGTCAAAATTCTCAAGTTTTTCAGCAAATTCCAGTTCTCTCAGCTGGTCAGAGTAAAATAAAATCTCCAGAGGAAATCAGACCATTCCCCAAAGCTTCACCGCGTAAAAACACCAGAAAGAGTCGGAAGCGTAGGGAGGCACAAATCCTGACGGATTCTCCAGTTAGATAAAAAATCGATCAAGAATTCAGAATCAAGCAGGAGGAACAGAAGCAACAGAATGAGAAAAGGATAAAGAAGCGAACAGCTCACCCTAAACTCTAATTCTTGCACCTTTTTCCGAAAATCGACTTTTATTTGTATTAATCTTGATTTATTCTCACCATGCTGAAACT